CAGGACTGACCCAAGGTGGTTCCCTGGCATGAAGGCTTTCTGCTTTTGCAGTTGTCCTGTGGTTTCAGCCAGCAAGACCATCCATGGTAAAGTTGTGATTCTCTTAGTGCAGACCTGGACTCTCAGGCTCTGCAGAGCAGCACTCCACAAGTGTTGCCCCTTCAAGAATGCCACATTTCGGGCCCGGCGCGGTGGCGCAAGTGGTTAATGTCCTCGCCTACCATGCCCCGGGATCACATATGGGCGCCGGTTCTAATCCCAGCAGCCCCGCTTCCCTTCCAGCTCCCTGCCTGTGGCCCGGGAAGGCAGTCGAAGATGGCCCAAAGCTTTGGTACCCTGCACCTGCATGGGAGACCCAGAAGAGGCTCCTGGCTTCGGATCGGCATCGGCCATTGCGCTCACTTGGGGAGTGAATCCTTGGACGGAAGATCTTCTTCTCTGTCTCTCCTCTCTGTATATCCGCCATTCCAATAAAAAAATAATAATAAAAATAAATCTTAAAAAAAAAAGAATGCCACATTTCAGAAAGCTCACGGAAAGTGGAATTTAAAAGAGAAGTTATTTGGCACCCTAAGATGTTGAAACCAGAGCATGTATTCTCATTATAGGCAGTTTTCATGCAAGATGAATAAAATCCCCCCTTTTGCACAGCATTCCACATTCCAGGAACTATTTGTGGTGGCCCTGTGTAAGTCCCTCCCTGTGGGAGGGAACACCTGCAAGCTGGGTCCACTTCCCACTTGCCTCACTCCACCTGCTTTTCCCTTTGCTGATCCATGGTCTTTCTGTATCAAACACCTGACTGGGGGGAGGATGCCAGAGAGTCCCAGTGGAGATCAAGGAGCCTGAGACTGGTCTTGGGGCCCCTGCACATCAGCTGTCAGCTTGGCCTATGCCTCCTGGAGAATCTCTGTAGTCTACCGCCACCTGCCCACCTTTATTACTCCCTTGCAGCACCAGGCCGTGCCCCTTTGCCTTCCTTGCTCTGAGCTCTTTGCAGGCTTATCTTGTGTTCTGAAATGAGCTCAGGGCCTTCCTCATTCACAGTGGCCCTGCCCATCTGATGCCCCCCTCAACCTCCTGCAATTCCAGACCCCAATAGCGCTAACCAAGGAGGGGGTCTCTCTCAGGGCAGGGATCTCATACGTGCTACCATGTACACCTGTGTAGCACCAACTGTGCATGTGAATGTCTGCTGCCCCATGGGTGACCAATGACTTCACAGGCCATGGCCAGGTGGGAACCCCCTGCCAGAGCCTGGGGCTGGGGACTTACCTGAAGCCACGGGTCAGCACACCAGTGGCCAGGGCACAGTTCCCAGTTGCAGCCCCAACAGCTCTTGGGCTGGTTGTGGTTGTGGTTGTATTACATTGTTGTTGTGTGGTGTTATAGAGAGGCTGGATGCAGTGCATGGGGAACACCTACATGTTTGTGCAGCTGCAGCTGTAGTTGCACAGCTCCCATTTGGCAGTAACCCACCTGCCTGTGCAAAGCAGCCCAGTTCAGCGCTCCTCTGCCCATGCTCCACCTGCCAGGGCACAGCAGCCCAGCTCAGCACCCCTCTTCTGCCTGTGACTCACCTGCCAGGGCAGAGCAGTATAGTTCAGACCCCCTTGGCCACAACAGGCTGGGGTGCCACACCCGGTAGCCTTGAGGAACGTAGAACGAAGAGATGGAGCACACCCCACTGCCAAAGCACAGTTGTCTTCTTGCGGCAAGGTGCCAGGAGCCCAGACACTCCCGGGGGGGGGGGGTGATTCCCGAGCACATCCATGACCAGAAGATGTGGACTGGGGCAGTGGCGAGGGGACATTTGGGGGCTGGGGAGGAGTCATAGTTCCACGTGCACCTGCTCCATGGATCTCTCCATCTGGGCTGGATACCGGCCCAGGCCCTTGTAGGCAGCCAGCCACCTGCTCAAACCATGTTCAGGTAAGTCAGGCACGAGTCCCTCAACCTCACTTCTGCTTTCAGAAGTGCCTCCCTGTTCATGGGCATAACTGGCCCGGGTGGCAGGCACAGAGTCCCGACTATCCTTTGGTTCCCACTGCTGCCCATTCTAGCAGGGTACACCAAGCCACCTGACAACCTGCAAAACCAGACCTGATGTGATGTCCTGGCTTGCTACGGGACCGCTGGCCCCTTGTGGAGTTGAGATTATTTGGGGAGGGTTCTTCTATTTTTCTGGGGAAGGATTCAGGAAGGTGTGAGGGAGTCCCACTCCCTGGGGTGGGGCTTAGGGAGATCACGATGTGCACAGGGAGCTAAGGAAACCTTGAAGCCCCAGCTAATGCTGTTCCTGGGGCTCAGCAAGAAGGGGCAGGGAGGGGGTCATGGTGTTTTAAGGTATGGCCTGTGACATTAACATGCCAAATGGGCACCAATGCATGCCCTGGCTGTCCACTTCCAATTCAGCTTCCCATTTATGGCCTGGGAAAGCAACAAGGGTGGGCCATGTGTTTGGGCTCCTGAGCCACGTGGGCGAGCAGGAAGAAGTCTCTGACTCCTGGCCCAGCCCGGGCTGTTAGAGGCATCTGGGAAGTTAACCAGCACATGAAAGATTTCTCTCTCGGTAACTTTTTTTCTTTTTAGATTTATTTATTTTTAATGAAAATGTGGATTTACGGAGAAAAGGAAAGATACAGAGATCAAAGACAAGACGTTAAGACAGAGGCAAAGATGTTCCATCTGCTGGTTCACAATGGCTAGAGCTGAGCAAATCTGAAGTCAGAAGCCTGGCACCTCATCTACCAATTGGTGTGGGAGAAGGGGCAAAGGTGGTGCCACAGAGCAAGCTTATGGGATGGGGCAATTGTGTCAGCCTGGTCCGGGCCACTTGAGTCGACTCCCTAGTTATGCAGTCAGGGGCTAGGCAGTCAGCAGACAGTGTGCAGAGGAGAGCAGGGCCAGGGGAAGAGCAGTGATGCAGATAATTAGTGAAGGTGGTGGGGGCACGGGTATGTCCATTTCACTCACACACTATACACAGGTGTGTCCATCACACACACACACACCATCCTCCCCTCCCCTCCACCCCCGTACCTTTACAGAGGCCCTTGGGGGACAGACTGGAGATGAACCATTACATCATGGTCCATAGTCGATGATCAAATGGCTTTCTGGACACTTCTCTGAATATCCTCACACATTTATAGACAACTTTAAAGTGCTTTTTTAAAAAAAATAAGATATCCACATATTTTTTTTAATACACAAATTATAAGGATACAACAGTGAAACCTCACCAAAGGACCATGCTGGACAAGAATCAGCACCTCCTGCTCCAGGTCTAACAACTGCTGCCTTTCCTTTCCACTCTTCTTACCTCACACACTGTCCGCAGGCACCATGTGCACAGGCTTGGACCAGGGGGTGATGCTAAGGTGACCTGGGGGAGCCCTTAGAGGGTGGGGCCTAGTGGGAGGGCTGAAGGCCCTCTGTAGTGCTTGTTGCTTCTACATTACCACCTCAGAGGACCAAGTGATTGACACATTAGTCTTGCTCACTTAAAAAAAAAAATCATCAATACAAATGGCTTCTTGACCTCATCGTTAAATAAAGACATGACATCTTAAACAGGAGTCAGCCTCTCCACGCCTGTGTGGATACACTACAATTCACCTCTTCCCCTGTTGATGGAGTTAAGTTTTCCCCTCATGTGGAGGAATTACTGCAATGCACAGTCCCGTGGTCTCTGGCACACACATGCTCTCACTTCTGGCAGGTGCATGTCTAGTTGCTGGAGGGGGCGGCAGTAGCTTTAGCTGACACAGCTAAGTTTTTCCAGAGGAGTTGCCTGACTTATTCCAACCCATGGAGAAGGAGAATTTCATTATCACACACTCGCCAAGTTGTGTCACTTCCATCTCTCTTACGTATTTTAATGTTTATCTGTTTACTTCCATCTACTTGAGGATCAGAATAAGAGAGGAAGAGAGAGAGAACCAAAGATTTTTCCATTTATTGGTTCACTCCCCAAATGCCTGCAACAAGCCAAGACTGAGCAAGACCAGGCAGCAGCAGAAACTCCCCCAGGGTCTTCTACGTGGGTGACAGGGCCCAGGGACTTGGCTTCACCTGCTGCTTTCCCAGGCACATCAACAGCAAGCTGGCTTGGAAACAGACCCGTGGAAACTCAAAGCAGTGCCCTAACACAAGATGAGCATGTGCTACTGTTGCAAGGAATGGCTTCATCTCCTGCACCACAACACTGGCCCCAGTTTTTCAACTTTAATCCACGGTTTCCAAAGAACTAAATTTGGTTTTGCACCTAACCCTTCAGCCTTTATCATTTCAATGTCCTTCCTTGAGGGGGCTTAATTTGCTGCTCTTCATCTAATTTCTTGGTAAAGATGTGTCAGGAGTGATTTTTACTTTTCTTCATGAATGCACTCGAGGCTCTGAAGCTCCACCCGACCACTGGGCTGGCTGTCTCCACAACTTCTGCTCCGACACTGTCATCATCATTCAGATACTAATGTATTCCCATCCACACTGTAATTTCTAACTTGACCCATCGATTACTTATTACCTGTGTCATTTAGTTTCCAAACATTCAGTATTTCTTGTCTTCCTTTTCCAGTCACCTGAGGCTAGTCTCTGTGCAATGTTTTTCATTATTCATACTTTGCTGGGTTTTCCCTGTGGCCAGCACATGCTTGCTGGAGATTTCCATACAATCCTCAGTCCCTACTACTAGAATAGCCATTTCATCTGGGTCCCTTCAGTTAAACATGACAGCAAGATGGAAAACAAACAAACAAGAGTAAAAATTATACAAATAAGCGTATGGTCATATAAACTACTAAATGGAAACGGGCAAAGTGCAGAACACAGTAAACATTATGCTCTCACTTGTGTAGAAAATTACTGAAAATATTACATGCGCAGGAATTTGAATAAGTATTAATACTCTGCACACAAAGGGCATGGTATCATGGATTTCTCTCTCTCTCTTTTTTTTTCCTGAGGGGAATCAAATAATGAGGACTGCAGCAGAGTTACACAAGAAAGGAACAGAGTTTTGTCCATTTTATTAAACAAACTTAGGCCATAAAATATTTGTGACTTAAATTTCTTCTATATACTAAATGTATATAACCCAGTTAGCGTGAAGTGTTTGCTAGAAATCGTTCCTCACAGCTTCTTTTTAAAACCTTCAGTTATCTTCTTCTTTTTGCATTAGGATTATATCTGCAAGGAAAGAATTGGCATTAAAGAATGTTAAAGTAAGGGATCATCATTTACTTTGAAAGCTTAAGACACACACAATAGCCAACAGGATGGAAATGCCAATTTCATCCTTTATTAAAGGACTGGCAGTTCATTTTCATTTATGCCTTTGATGTTGCTTTTATGAATATATTGTAAACTGAAACAAATCATTAACAAAAAATGTTATAAAGCACTAAAATAATTAAAACAATAGTTTAAAAGTCACGGTATGTTTATACTTCTTTCAGTAGGGCTTGGAATGGATCCCACACACCTGCACTCAGAAATTAAAGCATACCATTTGCACAACAGAACAGAATGAACCCCAAATAGAATTATAACTGTAGAAAAGTTTCTGCTACAGCAATTAAACAAATATAATTGGGCAACCTGACAGTCTCATTTAATCCTGAAGAAATCAGTATTAAACCAGTATAAAAGGCATTCTCATCTAAAAAAAGTGGATTGTATTTCCAAAATTAGAGAATCAACCAAACTGACTGTGAAAAGTACATGACTTTCTTCTGTCTTTACGATTAGAGAAAAAAAAATTAGGAAAATGCACCCTCACACTGTGTTTCTCTTCTGTTTAGTATTTGAGCGTCAACTAAGACTTGTTTGGCCTATTACATTTTCAACACTCATTACACTCCTCTAAAACCTCCCACAAACTTTGAAAACTCCAATCTATTTTTCTTTGTTTTTATCTATGTGCCAATTAAAGTTAATGTCTGTCATTTTGTCTTAATGCAAAGCCCCATTCATTCATAAGTCTACTGAAGAGAGTTGAAAATAAATCTCAGAAAGTGGTCAAGTTCAGCTAGCTCAGGAAGCCTCCTTTTCCCTGCATGAGCCAATACGGATGTTAACTACCTTGTGTTACAGCACAACTGCATCGACCCAAATTTGAAAGCTATACCCAATAAGCCCAACTGAGAGGTGCTCAAATAGTACAAGGAAATAGGTATCCTAAAAATAAAACATTCCCGTAGTGAAGGGCCTATTTGTCCAAAAGGGCAGAACAACAAAAAGGAATCTATATAAATAACAATGCAAAGTTTAAGAAAGCTGAATTAAACCTTACCTAAAGAGATCATCAGCAAGCGATTCTTCCTTGGCGTGCTGAATTTGCACCTGTTGAAATGAACACACTTTCAAACATTTGCTCAGGGGTGAATATTAAGGACATGAATATCCAGGCTGACGCGTCACAGTGAGCTCTGGCCTCCCGACCATCTCCCCCTCCACAAATCATTTGTTTTCACTTCACACTGAGACTATCATTGCCCCAGTGCTTGAACAGAACAATTCTACCCGACCTGCCTTCTACAGGTGTCCAACACATATTATTAGTTTGTTGAGTTTTTAATTGATCTTTCCAGCAGAACCCTTCTACTACATGGAATTCCAGTGCACTGACACAAGACCACTCATGAGCCTGAGATGGGGGTGCTTCCCCAGCAGCAAATGGGCTCCTTCCGTTTAGTCCCAGCTGAGCATGCTGAAGTGGCTGCTGAACTACCCCAGCCAGGCAGTACTTTTCATGCTAAAGTCCTCAAGCTTCTAACACATTAAAACAGAAAAACCATGTGCTGAGGGCATTTCCTCAAACCCGCCTCTGATCCCTTCATTTGCCATCCAAAACCCTTCAGTGACTGAGTCTGACCCTTACAAGGTGCAAATCCCTGGAGAACCTGGCTTCCTATCACCTTCCTAATCATATCCTGCATCTCCAGACCTGTTCTTGGGCCCATGTCTTCACATCACTTAGCTGTGGATGTTGTGGCCATTTGGAGAATGAACCAGCAGATGGAAGAACATCCTTCTCTGTCTCTCCTTCTCTCTGTAACTCTGCCTTTCAAATAAAAATAACATAAAGCCTAAAAATATGCAAAAGAAGTAGAAGTAGATAGCAATAAGACAGTTATGCCTTAAATGTAGAGACCAATAAATAAGAAAAATATTTTAAAAGCTTTCACAGAGACTCTCCTAAAATGAAGCTTCAGAACTATATTCAAAAATCAGAACACTTATACAGTACTCTAGGAAAAGAAGTGGAGAACATTCGACAATGGTATATATTCTGTTTCCTACTGACTTTCAAGCTGAAAAAGGGATACTTCAAACACGCAAGTCATCCAGAAAGTGGAAAAATTGGACTATCAAAAGATA